ATATTTTTTTCAAACGTCACAATAGTTATTTATGGTACTAGTGTGTTATCTTACATACAGGGTAGCCCATCGAAAACGTTCCGGGTTGAAGATTTTGCAATCATTTTTGGGGCAAAAGTTGTCACCCTCACAAACAAAATTGACGTGTTTTTTGATTTTCTAAAAAAAAATTGCTCTGGTCGTTATGCCTTGCGGAACGTTTGGGCCACCCTGTATAAGTCACGCTGGGAAATGTTTAGGGCTAATTTTCAGCAGAACTGTTTCATGTCCAATCTCTAAAGAATAATTCATTTGAAAAGATCTACCAGTTCTTCTTTCATTGTTGCGACTTTGGATATATCGAAGAGTCCATCAACAATAAAATAGAGATTGCAAAAAAGATTCAAGGTACTGTATAAGTATTCCAGAACGAGCCGTTGTAATGACAGAGCCGTGGCTAACGTCATATTCAAGGCCTGACTGTTTTGACAGTTCTACCGAAGTGGTCCAGAATTAGTAGTCGTAAACAAACCAATTGTTTTCATTAGTTTCGCAACAAATCTGCGTTTTTTAAGCGTTTCTATGCTAATAAAATTATACTAAATAATTTTGAGTGAATAGTGAACTATCTAGATCCGATTCATAACATCGTACCCGCGAAAAAAACCATACTTTCGGTAAAAATTATAGTAACACCGGCGATGCCGGCTGAGTGTTCGGGCTAGGGAAAATTTGGGGAATTTATATAAAAACATAATTAATAGGCGTTAGTGTTAGTGTATAGTGTTAAACCAACGTAAGTGACGTGTCTTTTTAGGTAAAACAGTTGTCGTTTCTTTATTTTCACTTTGTGAAATAAAAAATGCCGCGACATTGTTCTGTGCCTGTGCCTTGTAGCAGCAATTATAATAAGTACTCAGCATCTGTCCACATTTTCTTTCCCGACAATATTAACTGTAACTAAGTCACGTCCAAAACCTACAGAAGATGCTGTGCCTACAATTTTTCCAAATCAACCCTCTTATATGACTGTGCATATTCCCATAAAGAGAAAACATCCCGATGAAAGAAAACAAGATTTGGAAATTCAGGATGAAATAAATATTGAAAATTATTATTATTATTATTATGAAATGGCAATATATTTTAAAGAAATTAAATGAATTGTACTTTATTTCAGTATTTTATATAAAAAAATATCTTAATCTTTTTATTTATGATTTATGGAAATGGTTACTTGAACATCGAACTACAAATTACTTAATGATAATAGTTAATTCTACCTGATATCCACATTTTTTAAATATGTTAGGCAAATTTTACAATTATTTTTAATTAAACTTTAAAATGTATTCTGCCCTTATCATATACAATAGATTTTCCTAACTTGTCGATAAAGTATAGTTTTCAAATTTTTTAATATTTGGAAACTTTATCACAAGGTATATTATTACTAGCTGCTAAATACTCGCTAACGCAATTTTAGGACATGCTTTTTATTATCTGGATTTTATTCTGTTCATCTTATGCTGTTGTTTATTTCATATTAATATTCGTGTTTTAGATCTAAATTTTAATGCTATTCAATTACTTTAACGCGATAAAAAGTTAATGTTATTTTTTAATACCTTTGTGTATAATATTTTTCATATTTATATCTGGCAAAACTATCAATAAATACTATTATTTATGCAAAAACTATATGCAGTACCATATGGCACAATACAAAAGCCTGACTATTGCGGTGACGTCACAAATCGATGTCTCTGGCCTGTATCTCATGTTGGTTATGACAGAGCCTATTTCAAGCAGTGGAGGGACAGCATCTGATGGGGGCATATAAGGTTTTACAAAAAAAAATCATTTTCATTTAATGTTAATTTAAATAAATAATTGAATTAGTAATTTATGAATAAAGCTTAATAATTTCTATAAAATGGTGTGGCTTTGAAGTTATAACACACTAGTTTGTTATAACTTCAAAAACTCACGCGTGTGTTATTATTTAGTCCTGTATAAGTAGTGGCTGTTAGATAAATATTAAAACATGTATCTACCAAAAAACATAATATTCTAATAAGATATGTCACATTGTCATATATTATGTTGTCATGTGTTAAAGAAATGTGATAAATAAGGCAATCGCAAGGGATTTTAATTGAAAAACAACATTTTTGATTGGTACAGTTTTCAGTACTAGGCCTGGTGTGTTAATCCATTACAAAATTTGATTGATCCTCGAGTGAGCAATCCGCTGCTCATTAAAAAGCTTGGAAAAATAAATATTTAACCAACTCTTCTCATGGCGTTAGTAAACAGTTCACATGCCGATACCAACCGTGCATCAGTAAATCAAAGAAACAATTCTTTATAGGAGAGGGGAGAGAGATCTTATTAAATTACACACAGAAAAAGTAACAGTTTACATTAAGATTAAGAATGATCTAGCTATGGTGGTTTTTGAAAGAAAATAGAACAATGGGTAGGTATATATTTAATATCAATTAAACTTTTAGTTATGTAATCGAGTGCGCGATTTTTAAATTCAGTGTTGCCAACCATGGACATATTCGGCGCGCCGTTTTAGAACCTCTTTTAGTGCGAAGTGTACAAGATAGCTTAATAGCCGTAAAAATCTCATCGCAACTTTCTGAGAATATTTTCAACAGGAAATCGGTAGTAATGGCCCTTAAGTGCTGTTAAGACGGTAAGCTTTGTTGGTGTAAATAATAACTGTTTATACCGGGTGTTGCATCGTCGAGCGGGACATATGAAATCCCATATGTAAATTTTAATGGGGTCAATTATTGGCTTCCCTAATTATTTTAAAGAATAATTCTATTTAGGTTTATTGAAGAGCACTAAAACCCACATTCAAAAGAATAACTTTAGATATTTTTTATTAGTCCGTTTACGAGTTATCGCCGATTTCTTTTTAAATATTTCTCCTTTCTTATGGCCGTGTATTTACTTATGAGCACCAGTCAAGGTAAAAGACTGATGGTAAAAGACTTCATTTGACAGATAACTGTCAAATGAAGTTGTCATTTCAGAAATTTATCTAATCTATTTAGTACTTTATTATTATTATTAAAAACTCATACCTACATCGAAAATATTAGCCACGAAGAAAAAGTATTGATGATTAAATGGTATTATCAAGGAAATAGTTATCAAAAGGTGTCGGACATGTTTGCTGCTCTGTATCCGAATAGACCGATACCTAGAAAATCTACAATCGCAAGGAATATCCAGAGATTTGAGACCAAAGGTACCCTAATAAATAACTGCACATGTGATGCAAGGCAGGAACAAAGAGAAGATGCAAGAAATGATACCGACTTGGAAGTTTTCGTGTGCGTGGAAGAGAACGATGGAAAGATCAGCACAAGGAAACTTGAGGATGGAATAGGAATAGATCACACTACAGCGTTTCGAATTTTGAAACGATATAATTACTATTCCTTCAAATATGAAAAGCACCAAGAGCTACGAGATGGGGACGAAATACGGCGGCAGGCGTTTTATTTTGATATGATGGAAAGAGCAAACACGGATAGGGAATTTTTAAAAAACATATGTTTCACTGACGAGTGCACGTTTACCTTAAATAATGAACCCATTGTTCAAAATTATTGATATTGGAACAAAGAAAACCAACACAGGTTTGGTTTGGTTTATACATAATACCCTGGCTGTTCGGGAATATTTAGACAATAGTTTTAACGGAAACGTTATTGGCCTAAATCATACTATAGAGTAAATTGGCCAGCAAGGTCTCCTGATATTTCGCCAAATGATTTCTTTCTCTGAGGCCATTTAAAAAACAGGATATACAAGGACAAAAAATACCCAAATCTAGACGAGTTAAAAATGATATTTCTGCCCAATGCAATAGAATTTCAGTTTACTAACTAGCGAATGTAAGAAGAGAATTTTATGATTGCCTGGGTTATTGTCTAGCAGTCGATGGAGGAATATTTGAACATCTTCTTAAATCCTAAAGTTCTAACAATTTAATAGTACTAATTAAATAGAACTAAATTAATAAGTTATTGAATATTGTAATAATACTATAATTAACCTTGTAATTGATTACTTTATTTTACTTTAATTCATATTAATTTGTATTTATAAATACATCTTTAAGATTTCCGATGTAGGAATGAGTTTTCAATAATAATAAAGCACTAAATAGGTAAATTTCTGAAATGACAACTTCAATTGACAGTTATCTTTTACCTTGACTGGTGCTCATAAGTAAATACAGGGCCATAAGAAAAAAGAAATATTTAAAAAGAAATCGGGCGATAACTCGTAAGCGAGCTAATCAAAAATATCTAAAGTTATTCTTTTGAATGTGGGTTTTAGTGCTCTTCAATAAACCTAAATAGAATTATTCTCTAAAATAATTAGGGAAGCCAATAATTGACCCCATTAAAATTTACATGGGATTTCCTATGTCCCGTCCGACGATGCAACACCCGGTATATTTATAATTAATGTATTTTTGTTTCCTAAAATATTTTGATTAAAAGAAAATATATTAAAGTGGGCAACGCTCTGCCGGCCAAGTTTAATCACGTGCATTCAGTAAGAAATAAAATTATCTATGTACCAAAGTACCAAGGGTATTATAAAATGTTAATAACGGCCATAGACCCTCGGGACAGAAACTTAGCCTTCACCGAAAAATACCCTCATTTGATAGACTAAAAAAATTTCAGTCAAAGAAAAAAAATCGCAAATCTGACTTCCATCCCTCAATTAACAATGCTCTTAGAACCACCCAACGAAACCCAACAAAGCATCAAACAAGTAATTAAACCGAAAAAATCCACCGGAGCTCATCTTCGGTCTTCATGGCGGTACTATCTCCAAACCGCGCGCGCGCTCCTCAAGCCCCGCCCCCCGTTACATCGTCAATCTTTCCCCTCCTCATACCCCCCTCGCCACCCCCTACCCGCGCGGTACTGCCTGCAAAGCACCGCTGCCTCTGCCTCGATCGTTTAATACGATCCTGGCCCGCACGCGAGACATTTGTATACAAATCGGGTAAACTGTGTACCCGCGTGTTTGTACAGTCGTAAACATACAACAGCTCGTATACACACGCGCACCAACGAGCAGCGCGTATCAAATAAATGTTTGTGAATCGGGCATAATTGTTTATCCGTTTGTATAAATGTTTAAAGAATGATGAAGGATCAGCAGTTAGACTCCGTCGGTGTTCCCGGACAGTCATCCGCGTCAACCGGACTGGCCATTCAGCAACAGTTACTGCAACACCACCCCGGAGTCATCCTACCTAACGAATCTTCGAGTATCATTACACCAGACAATTCTGGAACGGATCCGGATTCAAAACCGTCATCATCCGACAAAAAAAGCGGAATCAGACGCCAGGAAAAACCTCCTTACTCGTACATCGCCTTGATCGTCATGGCAATCCAGCATTCACCAACAAAAAGACTCACACTCAGCGAAATCTACTCGTTTCTCCAGCAAAGATTCCCCTTCTTCAGGGGAGCTTACCAAGGATGGAAGAACTCCGTCCGCCATAACCTCTCCCTCAACGAATGCTTCATCAAACTCCCTAAAGGACTGGGAAGGCCAGGAAAAGGACATTACTGGACTATAGACCCAGCCAGTGAGTTCATGTTTGAAGAAGGCTCTTTCCGTCGAAGACCCAGAGGTTTTCGACGGAAATGTCAGGCAATGAAACCACAATACCATCCAGCTTCATTTTTTGCCAATAACATGAGCGGAATGGTTGGTAACCAAGGTGCAGGATACGATCATCAAGCTCTGGTCCAGTCTCAGGATTACTCTACTTGTTCGTACGGGACTCCAGCGCCTCAGGTGACGTCGGTTTCGGGGTCAGCTTACGGAAACTATGATTATCCCTCTGCGGTGTATCAGCAGCAATGTGAAGCTAGGGAATGGGGTTCGAATGCTGGGTTGTTGCCAGGGTATGGAGAGGGTGCGATTTCGAGCAGTTATTTGAAAGCTCCGTTGAGTCCGATGCCGGATAACCAGGATACGCCTCCGCCTGCTGTGGATAACTATTACCAGTACGGGGTGATATCGACGTCTTCGGATAACCGTAAGTACCTCTATAGTTATGTATTTTTTTGGATTGTATTTTGTGTGATTTGGAAAAAATAATTTAAGTCAAGAATAATGAATTGGTGGAAACTGTCGAAAACTTCATTCAGAACCTAGAAAGCAATGGAATGTGGAATAAATTAGTAGTTTCAATTAACCGTAGAAGTTTGTTCACCTATTTTTAATGTAAGCACTCGGAACGTCATAATTAGTGGTAGTAATTTTCAATTAGTGGAAAAAGTTAACAAACTTTTGACTTTTCCACTAATTATACTTGAAAATTTGCGAGGAATGTCATTTTGGCCCTTGATTATCAGCCGTCAAGAAAAATTTTGGTTAGAAATCAAAAGTTTATTGTTTTATAAGCTAAATATTATGCTTTCTCTATGGATACAACAGACTACCGCAAACTGTTGCTAGGATATTTTACTAATTTTAATTGTTTTTTTAGACATTGTTAGAGATGCCGCGAGATGCAAAACACGAGACGTCTCGTCTCGATGTCATTTTGTCTCGTCTCAAGAGCATTTTGTCTCGAATTGCGAGACGAGACGAGATAAAATGTTTCGAGACAAGACGAGGCGAGACGAGACGAGATATCTGGAAAACCATTAACACAAAATATGATAATAGGGTTAAAATTTATATAATATCAAATTGCGTGATGTTTTCTAATAGTTATATGTTTATGGAGAATAAATACCCACAAACTAACTAAATAAATATAATTTATTTGAAAACTTTAGAACCAACTTAGTGTCCAACGTCGAACTTAATATATGTTAGAACTAATCTTTACTTCCATTGTTTTTCCAAAGTCATTGAAAATTTCAAACGAAAACAAACAAACGAAATGGGAATGTTTTCTAGGGATGTCCGTATATAGGGTGGCCGAAAAAAAATTTGTTTTTTTAATTTTCTTAAAGTTGTGTATACCGGGTGCGTCTCAAAAGTGGCTCACCCTTGTAACTTTTTTATTTATTCGAATAAAAAAATGAGATTTGGTATGTTAGTATATGACATAAATTAGGATTGATTGATGTATTTCATTGTTTTTGCTCACTTTCTGTTTCACCGGAAATGACGACAAGTTTTGATTTTTAAATGACACCCTAGGTATTTGTTTACATTATTCGATAGAAAATGACACTCTGAATAGAATGACATATCATATGTCAAATTTTGCCATTTCTCGCGTATGATTTATTGACGAAATACCAAGTGTGTGGTATCAAATTATTCGTAAAAAAATGCTTTTTCCAAATATGCCTATGAGACACCCTGGATCCATTTGAAAAAGTTGAAATATGATTAAAAAAACGAGTTGGACATCTTTTAACCGGCCAGGACAAGACACGAAAAACATTAGGCGATCAAATCTATTTTTCCAAGGTTCCTTGATTAAAACATATTGCTCTTAACACAGCCATGACACTCTAGATTGAAATTTAAAATGCGATTTATTTTTAAAGTTGTAGTCATTTTCGGTGAAACAGGAAGTGACTGAAAACAAATGAATACGTCAATCATTCCTAATTTATGTCATATACTAACATACCAAATTTAGTGTTTTTTTACCGTTTATTTATCTGAATAAATAAAAAAGTTATAGGATTGAGACGCACTGCATTATTATAATGATTAGGAAAAATTTGGTATACTTTATAGAAAAATATTAAACAAAAAAATGTTTAATTAAAAAAAATATATTTGATATTTTCAAAAAAAATCATAATTATTTTTTTTCAATCCTGTAGGAAATATCCCTTAGGTAATATAAAGCATTATTGTGATATATTAAACAAGTCGAAAAAAAAACGAGACAAAACGAGACGAGACGAGATAATGTATTATCTCGTCTCGTCTCGATAATGTTTTATCTCGAAATTTCGAGACGAGACGAGATAAGTTCTTATCTCGTCTCGTCTTGTCTCGCGGCAACTCTAGACATTGTGAATGATCGTAAACTAAAAAGTATAAAGTCTGATGAAACTAAATTTATTCCACTAATTGCGAGGTTCTGAATGAAGGTTTTGAAAGTCTACCACTAATTTTGACGTTCTGAACTGTGTTCTGAATGCTTATATATGAAATTAGAGCAAAAAAACTTCTACGCTAATTGAAACCACTAACTTATCCCACCAATCTCGAAATAATTGAAAAAAGTCATTGTTAAAATAGTTAAAATGCTTCTAGAATTAATAAACAGTTTCTAAAAACTATCCTCCTGAATTTTCTCACGAGGTGTTTTGAAATTATGACAAAAAAACAACAATTTTATTTTTCTGGATAAAAATTAGAAGAGAACATTTTTTGCGACGGGGGTGTCGGTATAGTATAGCACAAAAAATATACAAAAACGAATGATAGGTATTATAGGTACCTGATGCAAGAATAAATAATAAAGATGCAAGAAAATTCCAAATAGGTAACTCTCTCTGAAGTTTTACGGTATTGTTTGTTTTCCAAAAATGCAAATTTTCAGATAAGAATGTTTTTTACAAACAAATTCATGATAAATATGCAGCAATAATTATTTTATAATTTTTGAAATAGTAGGGGGTTTCCAATGATCTAAAACAATAATTTTAATTTAAATAAAGTATTTTAAAAAATTTAAAATAAGTTAAAACTTAAAAAATGTTATAGAATTTGTCTATTTTTAAAACGATTGAAAACTGAGATCAAAAGAGAAAAACTGAAGCAACTTTGAACTGGATTCTTTTGTTCAGGAGTTATAGTATCACTTCATAGAAATGCCTGTTTTATAGTTTTATTATTTTTAAACTTCTAGTGTAGGAGGCGGAGTTATTTCTTTGATATTTCAAAGGCAAAATCTGCCCTGGCGTGCTAAAAACACTCTGTGTATTAAATTAGACACCGTAAAGCATCTTTCGGTTTAAAATATGACACTTTTCTTATCAAAGTATGCAGATAAATTGTTTATGGGAACCGAGATAATTTATTGTAACAAACTATATTCCTCTTGTATCTTTTTTTATTGCTTTTGTATTAGTTTATCGCAAAATAAACATGTATTGTTTTAAATTTAACCTGTGGTGCCAATGCGGTTTAAGAGTTACCTCAAATATATCTAATTATCTACTCTTTAGAAACGTTTATACAAATATAAATAAATTTACAAAGTATGTATTTCTACCGGGTGTCTCAACATACCGGTCCCAATTGAATACCACAATTATACAGGGTGTCATTGAAATGGTGTAAAAAAAAGACTCAAGAAGAAATAATTAATTGGAAAATCAAAATTTCATGATTTTTAAAACATCTTATTGCTGTAAAAACGAAATAAACCAATTACCAAAATTCCTTATTAAAATAATGCATTCCTTAGTTTATTCATAGTAAATGTTTAAAAAGTGACCACCATTCATTTCAATGCAGACATCTGCTCCAAGATCTGCGTACCCTGTGGAATATCCTTGGTGTTGCCCAAATTTGATTGGAAGAGTCAATAATGCGTTGCCGTAGTTGCTCTTCAGTATTAATCGGCACCGAGTAAACCAAAGCTTTCAAGTGGCCCCAGAAGTAGAAATCTAGTGGATTATTTCGTTGTTTAAAGCAATAAGATGTTTTAAAAATCATGAAATTTTGATTTTTCAATTAATTATTTGATAACTACTTGGTTACTTTTGAACCGCCACAACTTTCATAAGTTTATGTTGATTAACCAGTTGGCAACCCATCAGAGCAAACTCTTTGCCTTCAATTTTCTCGAAAACCATCGCTCTGGGCGATGTGCAACAAGAGTACATTTTTTGTAGAAAATAGTATGTAGTTTTCAAAAAACGAACCCACGTTGCAAAAAAAATGACCTCAAAAAAGTTATTCACGAAACAATCACCTACCCTTGCAAAAACTACCACTTCCACTTTTCCAAAAAAAATTTCAGTACACCAATTGAATCGGTTATTTAGAAAAGGGCACATCTACCTAACCATAAATTTTACAGTAGGAAGAAAAAACATTTTTAAATCTGATCGCGTGCACATTTTAGTTAGGTACATATTTTTGTAGGTTCATTGGTATGTCAGGACCCTGCTAACAGTAATTTTTCAAAGATTTTTGAAAAACTTATATGATAAAAAAATGTTTATATTTATTTCATTTGTGCCCTTTTCTAAACTTATTCCAGAATGAAACAATGAAAATAAAAATTCAACATAATATATTAAAAAAAAATAGTTTTAGATACCATTTATTAACTTAAGTAAGCTTATAATAGCTAAGAATTTTTATAACAGTATTAAAAGTCGTCTTCGGACGACTTTCTTCGGACGAATACTTTTTTAAAAGCCGTTGTTGGCCAGTCAAATATCATATTGTAAAATTCTTTGTTTTCCTCGGGGATATACTGGATTAGGGATCTCAAATTGTTAATTTTTTTACATTGATGGGGACTTATAGGCTTTATTTGCTACTTCAGTCGGAAGATCCGCCCTGGATCCGACAGGTTTGGCGAATGAAAAAGATGACGTAACAAGACCATCTATATATTCAGAGACAATAAGTTCTCCAGGATCTGAAGAGTCGTATCTGAATTCATTATAATGTGAAATCTGAAAGTTTACTCTTGGGATCTCTAGGGACCTTTCTTCTTTGTGTCTCAATAGACTGAACAGTTTTTTTTGTAATGTGTTGGCCATCATTTTTTGTAATCTATTATTTGGGAATTTAGTACTTCCTTCACTTCAAACTTGCCAGATACGGATGCCTTTTTGATGAGCTGTATATATTCTTGATGAGTATAAATTCTATCGACTTTTCGTATTTTTCTTTTGACGGTTCCAAAGTCTCTATCACAATCGTTAAAAGAATGTCCTCTCAAGGCAAAATAATGTACAATTTTCTTAAACCTTTTGTTTGCCGCCAATGCCATCAAGAATCGTACCACGGTATGATTCTTGTTTTGTCCAGGGCAACCGTCAGAAAATATGTAGAGCTCGTCTATAGTGTCAGGGACAAACTCTATATTAT